ATTGCAAAAAAACTTATTTATAAATCGATTTATTTTTACAAATATAAATCAATTTTTTTTATTTGATTAAGATCTAATCATAAGATTAAATTTTATTAATATATTTTAAGTTCCTATTATAAAGGTTTTATACTGTAAAAAATTAATTTTTTTATAAATATATATTATATAATAGTAATTTTATTTTTGAATTATATTTAATATTTAAAAAGTTGTAATTTTTAAAAAAATTTTATATTAAAAAATTTTATTAATTTTTAATAATATTAAAAATACATTAATTATTATAAAATTATTATAAAAAAATAATTTATTAAAAAATTTAACAATTTATTAGTAGTAAAATGATTTATACATAACAAAAATTTAATTAAAATTAATTAAATTCAATAAAATTGTTTATAATTATTTGAGGTTAATTAAATTTTAACTTAAAATAAGAATTTTTAAAAAAATTTAATATATATTGACCTTTAAAATTAAACTTTTAATAAATTTAAAATATTTACTAATTAAGTTGATATTATTAATTTTATACTATTTGTAAACAAATTTACCTGCTAAACAATCTAAGAGATTACTACTAATATACTAATAACTATAAATAAACTTATATAGTTAAATGTATTACAAAAAGACCTCCTTATTTACTTTTAAGGATAACAAATATTCTTTAAATGAAAAATAAACAAATGATAAGTAACAAATAGGAAAAAAATTTACTAATTACGTAACGAGACCAGGATCGTAACGAAAGTTTATTATTAAAACAACTTTATTAAATTTTCTTTAATTATCTAAATATCCTATTAATATATATATTCAATCATACAAACTATTATTCTAATACATGAAAATTATTATTGCGCTTTGCATTATTATCAAATTTAACTAGTTAATATAGGCTACTCTCTTTCTTTGACGGAAACTCCATTTGGATGGCTAATTTGAAAAAATTTATATATATATTAATAAGGTTGACATTATAAAAAGAACTTCTTTATAATCTTACCTGCTTTTGCGCTTCAAAATTACCATCCTCGTTCTCGTTTTCTTCACCATCTATCTCATCACCTATCTCTTCATCTGAGATTTCCTCCTTGTATACAACGGCTTTGCCTTTTTTGTTTCGTAAACGTGACGAACACTTGAATTTTTCCGAGAGCTGCTCTCGCATACGTCTCTTAATCGATCTAACCACGGGTTCACCGGAATTTATCATAACATCCAACCAAACTGCCAATATAGAGAATGTTTTAATTTCTAATGAATACCAATTGACTGCAACCTCATAAAGCCAACCCCAATTTTTATCTTTTTTGGAACTGGTAGTAGATGATGCATCATCATCGTCCGTAAAGATAAGACCGGTTTCAGAGATCATCTTTTTGATTTCATTTACGTAATCACTAGCATTTACGCTAGAATTCGACTCGCAAGTTTTGAAAACCAAATTTAGATCCACTTCTTGCAAGATTTTCTCGAATTCCACGATTTTTCTCTTTACATACTCTTTCATTATCACATGATATTCTTCTGATGACCAAACGTTCTTTTTGCGGATAACCGTATCAAATAATTTCCAAAAGCTTTTTTGACGTTGACTCATGATAAGTTTAACTTCTTCAGAATCAACTTCCATTTTTTCGGTTTGTGCATCTCTTTTTTTCTCGAGCCGTAAGTTTAGCATTTCAAATGTGGATTCGATTTCATTCTCCAATGTTTTAAGATTCGTTTTTAAACTCATCTCCCTATCATCTTGTGCATTAAGAGCTGCCATAAGCATTCTAAGTTCGCCAATTCCACTGATCATTTGCCATTCTGACGAAGAAGTTATGGGCAAAGATGAATCTTCAGAACCTTGCTCGGAGTAATTCCATTTAATTGTTTCGATAAACACGCCTCCTAAAGGTCTAAAGAACCAGTAGTATCTACCATCCCGGTCTTGTCCTAACCTGGCAACCATGTAAAACCTTTCATCACGCCCGGATGGATTTAAAATAGAGCCACCGCGTAGAGTACAAAGAGCATGATTCCGTTCAGTCTTATTTAACATATCAAGTTCCTTATGTTCCATTTCCAACTTATCTAAGCTATAGGAGAATATCTCAATTTCGTCGGCTGCATCTTTTAAATGTTCGTGAAGTTCGGTCTCCGCCTTGCGTTGTGCGACTATTCTTTGACGTTTAGTGACAGCATTAGGAAATTCCACATCTTCGCGCTCACAATTCATATGTATTTCCTTTATTTGATTTTCAATAGCTTTCATCTCATTTTCCTTGTCAACAATCTTGACACGTATTTCATTTACTTTAAATTTAATTTCTTTCATCCTTTCCGATCTAGTCTCATTCTCTTTCTTGTGAGTTGCTGGCATCATCAATTCCCTTATGTACTCGCGAAATTTATTTGTATGTAATGCATCATTCATGAGGTCAAGAAATACAGACGTTCGCTCTCTTGGATCAAATTCCGAATATTCTTTCTCACAAAGAAATTTTCTGTTAGGAAATCTTTCAATGAGAAAATATTGTAAATTAACGAGATCTATGTCGCATCCTTCTTCGGACTCTTTGTAAAGGAAAGAGAGCAACCTAGCTTGTAAAAAGGCTAGATACGTATGAAATTGGTTATCCAAAATCATTTCTTCGAGATCATCTAATAAACATAATTAATTTAATACATTTTATCAGTTTTCTTCATCGTGTATAATAATAACTAAAGTAAAGTTAAAATTTTCTACCATAATTTAATCGATCCCTATTATACGAGAGATCTAATTCCAAGAGCTTCTCGAATTTTACAATAAAATCGTAAATGCTTAATATATTTGTAATTAACACCATATCGATCATTTCCAAATTTACATGTTCAAAAGTGGGTAATGAAGCGACAATAATAGAGTTAGATGTATTGGGGGCTCTCTTTCTCTTTGCGACTGGCCGAGATTCCGAAGTTACCTAATATAAAGTATAATTAATATTACTACATGAACATATGAAATTATCTTGGAGATCATGAATTTTTTTTTACATTTGGTGGATTAGTTATTTCTTTAAGGACATTCGGATTTTCAATTTCATTTAACGTAGTATTAGGTGAACTCGTGTCTTTTTGAGAGGGGTCACTTGTAAAACCGAACCAATTTAATAAAGAACTATTGTTGTTAGGTTGACTTTTCTTTGTATTTGCCTTTGATTTTTTCGAATTTTTCTTGATTGTCTCTGAAGAATTTTCATTATATTTCATATCTTCAAAATTAGGTTTAATAACAGTCACTTCTGGCGGAGTTACGATAGGAATGACGACTCTCGGAGAGTAATACCAAGTAACTTTTGTAGGTGAAGCTACGATTCTTGGCGTTGGTATGTTTAGTTCACGTGTACCATTAAACATAGTAGTTTTCTGTGTAGCGGAATTTTCCTCTGTCACGGTAGAAGGTGAGTTAGTTTGGTAAACAACTTCTTTTGGTGAAGCAGAGTCACGTGTTTCAGACTGTAACCAACGTTTTATTATTTCAGATTCTTTCGAAGCAGGCAGTTGAGTATTAGAAACTTCACTTAAAGCTATCCTTTTAGGTTTTGAACGATTACTTAAGACTTTTGCGGGGTTTCGTTTCTCCATTCTTTAGCTAGCAAAAATAATAATATGTTCGTTAGGTTGAACGAGGAAATATTAAAAGACATAAAAACTTTTATACGTCTTATTGATACTTTACAGTTATATTTTTTTAGTTTTTTTGTTTTTTAAGTCGTTTAAAGTTGAGTTTGACACGAAGAAAAAAAATACGCGACGCGTTCGGCAAGCCCTTTATAAAGCGTTGATCATAAGGATAAGCATCATGTGATACAAGTGTAACAAAGTCATGTGATTTACGTTGATTCGTGTGGCTTTATTTTATGCAAATATGACATCGAAAATGTGGCTGTTCTCTTTAACACGTGCGAATATCATCATAAACGTATTACCAAATAATTTTGTAATTCAAATTTGGGACCATATGGTTCCAAGAAATAATAAATATCTTAGAAAAAACCGAATTTACTGCGGCTAATTGTATATTTTTATTGTTTCGTCACCTTTGTATCATTTTTATTTGAGGGCGTTATTTGATAATAATTATAAAAAGAAAGGATTGAATGTTTGCCCAAAAAGTCTAGAACGCTATCATGAAGGGCAACCATAAAATTCTTTTTTGTATTATAAGGGAATTTATAATCTCTTCGAGGAAAAAAAATCCAAGCTTGATTTTTGTTCTTTTTTTACCGCAGTTATCATCTGCAAGTCATGTCAAATGATCAAATCACAAGCTAAAGGGAAAAAAAATGACAAACTTTAAATTCTTTTAAAACCTCTGAGAAAAAAAATGGGGGGAATTGTTTTGATCAATCAAATTTCCCACTTTAGATTGAAGAAAAAGGAGGGTAGAGTAACAAAAGGAGACCAAAACAGGAGAAATGATGATCCTTACTTTGTAAACAAAATTAATCCATTTATGACCTAGGGGAAGAAGAATTCTTCCATAGAGTCTCAGTTTACAAAGGTAAATTTTTTACTGATATCATTCAAATAGAATTCTAACTCTATTTATTCTAATCACATGAAATCCTTAATGTCATTATTTGAGGCAAATATGACATAATATAAAATAGCACATTTATTAGGTTTGGGCACAAATTAGATCAACTCCATAAATAAAAGAATAAAAAGAATTTTTCACAAAATCTCCGCCCTTTTGACTTTGGGTATGATATATTTTTTTTTTTAAATGTACTCGAAATATATAATTATTTGATCTATCGATTTGTTCAAGTACGATTGTTAGAAAACTTTTTATAAAATAACCCCTCACGACTATCTTCAGTATTTCGACTTATCTTAAATTTCCCCCTCAAATTTTTTTTCCTTGAATTATTTAAATATATATACAGTATTTATATCTATCTATCTATCCATTTACCACACATTCTTTAAAATTTTTATCATCAATGTCGAAGATTATGTCCAAAGCATCAAAGAGCAGCAAAGGTAAAGGAATAAAACCCAAAATATTTACGTTTTATACAAATTAAAATGCCATATTAATTCTTATTCGATTTCGCTTCATATTAGTAAATATAAAATCTGTTTTATTACAAATTCAACTTCAACAATATTTACCGATTTTTCAGAGAAATGAAATTGATTTTACAACCTTCTTGACATTAAATGAACAATCCTTAAAATCCATTGGAGTCAAGAATGAATCTCATTGTAAAATATTATTGATGTATATTAGGAAGTTACAACAGTTATTATTAACACCTGCGCAAACTGAAAGCCATATGTCTTCAATCGTGGAAAATGAAAATGATAATCGTTCGACACGTGAATCCAATGATGATGAACTGATCAAGGATGATGGTCAACTTACCGTCGGTAATAATTTGACCGCATTGACGCCTATCACGGAAGAAGAGGAACCGTTAACAAATGTTGTTAATGAGGAGGAAATCAATGACCTCACGGACGTAACGCACAGCAATGTCGTAGTTGACGATCAAAAGTCACAGATTACTGCGCCAATAATATCGGATTCTTCAACAACTAATAGTACTGATATCGCTGATGATCAGGATACAAATGAAGAACAATCAGAAGATAATTATACGCCAATATCTTTAACTTCTCGGGGACGTAAACATAACAGCACAGATGATGAACTTATTTCAGCTATGAGACGACAACGTGGCGCAGCTGTACGAAGTACGAATTGGCGCCTTTCTATGCCCGTGACTAGTAGTGAATTACCCTCTTATTTCGATGTTGTTGATCGACAACACCACAGAAATAAAAGTGAATGTCATGAAGAATTACCTTCCTATTCTTGCACCGTACAAAAGAGTGGTTATATTTTAAAGAAAAATGAATTCTCCTCAAAAGGAGTTAAATCGAGAGATAGATCATGGAAACACTTATACATATATTTATGGGGAACTCTTCTACGTGTATATAAAAGCGAACCAATTGATTTCAACGTAAGTTTGTTTTCAACAAAACATAGCTATTACGCGCTTCTTTTCCTTATTAATTTTTATTTTTTTTATTTTTAGCGAGTAAATCCAGTTCGCGAGTTTAGTATGTTAAACGCTCAAATAGGTTTAGCATCAGATTATCTCAAGAAAAGAAATGTGATAAGAATACGAGTTTCTACTGGTCATCAATTTATATTTCAAACACAGAGTCGTGATGAATGTGTTTCATGGATAGAAGTATTGCAATCTTCTGTAAATATTTCATCTACTTTGGATGAAAGAGAAATGCCAATGTTTATTACCTTACCTACAAGACGACGCAGAGTTAATGCATCTATGATAACTACTTCATCGTCATTATCATCAATGAATTATGAAGGTAGTGGTACACCGTTAATAAATTATTCCTTAATGCCAGTTTCTTCTTCAGGTTTAACTTTACAACAATATAATGAAATGGCAAGAGAATTGCAGCAAGTTCAAATTACTGGAGTTTTACCGCAACAACAATTATCCTGGTAATTGTTTTCAAAATAAGGAATTATAAGCAAATATCTAAGGACAATTTTTTTATGTAATAAGCAACAATATATTTTTTATATTTTTTATCTCATAGATAATTTTAGCATTATTATCAACTTTTGTATCATAACTTGTGTACTTGTCATGTATTTTTAATTTATCTTTCTATTTTAATTCAATTTATGTTTAGAAATATCAATATTTTAAGATGTAAGAATAAGTTATATTATTCTTTAAATATTATTTAGCAAAACAATTTTTATCAATGTAATTAAATTAATTTCTGGAAAAAAAATATATAAATATAATTGTTGAGAAACGAGTTGTGAAGGACCAAATTTTAAAGTGATACCAATGATTCGCATTCACAAGGATGAGATTTTATAATTTTATTATAATTTAACCAAAAAAAAAAAAAGAAAAATACGATTCTATTATCTCGATCAAAATACATCATATTTATTTGATTCCTTCGACAAGTTTAGAAAACTGAGTATAAAGAAAAATTACGCTCAAAAGCATAACTTGGTAAACGGTGTGGCTAAATTATTTCAGTAAAAATCTAATTTACATCTATATCAAATTCCAATTCACAATAGATGCCTCATTTTTGTAAAAGATTATTAATTTCATTGATTATTAACTATTATTATTTTATTATTTTTTAATTGCATTTAGATGGATTGCACGAAATAAGAGTCGAGTTACATAATCCGGAATATGTTGCCAAATCATGAATAAATGCTTTATTAAAAGTTAACTATTTCTTAATTAAATTTACACGTCTTTTAATATTGAATGTGTTTTATATAGGGATGGGGACAGTTCTTTCGACTCTTCTTAAGTAAATTAAAACTTTGAGCGTATTACAGTATACTAATAGAGCATGTGCTATTGATCAATTTAAAAATTTTTTTGACTGATTAATCAATCTTTAATCTAATGACTTTTGCAACCGGTCCGGTGCAGAAATTCGGAATATGCTGAATTTATAATCGGTTCCAGACCCGACTCTGAGTCGCTCTTTTTGGCTGTTTCCCATCTCTAGTTTTATAATATAAAATACCATTTTAACCAATGATAAAATCATGTTTTTGGTAATAGAATCAATAAATTCTTCTATAGGTAAACTTGATAAATTAATATTTTACTTTATAGTAAAAACTTAAAAAGTAAAAATTTATTATATGCATAAATTTGATATATTAACTATAATATAATTTATTTAAAAATCAAATAGAAATTCAAAAAAAAAATATTATAAATAGTAATATAAGAAGAAATAATAAAATACAAATATAAAAAGCGTTAATATAAATTGGGAAGTTTGCTAGGAAAATTAGGCTCGGGGAATTTTTTTTGACATTTTAATTTAATAACATCAAAAACTAAAATGCAATAAAAATCAAAATTTTGTTAATATAGTAGTAATTTTATAATAAATTTTATCTTACCTAAAATTTAAATAAATTAAAGTTAACTTTAGGGATTAAATTATTCAAATCAAATTTAAAATTATTAAAACTATTATAAAATATTAAAATTATTACAAATATTAAAATTTAAATATTATTAATTTTTTTAATCTTTTTCATTTTAATTTATTAATTATTGATTTATAAAATTTAAATTACTTTATTAAAAATCAAAACATAAATACATAATTTATTTTAATTGAAAATATATAAATAAATATTAGCTTATCATTATTATATTTTGCTAAATTCAAATGAGTTTAGATAAGCAATCTTATTACAATTTCTAAAATATTTATTTATAAAAATAATTTTGCATCTTATATTACTATTAATATAAAATAACTTTATTATTAATTTCAAAAAAGCTATCAAGAAAAAGAATCAAAATAATTTTTTAATGTTAATATTATCAATAAGTAATTTACTAATGAAAATAAAGTTACATAAATTACGTAGTTTAATGATTTTTTAATAAGAAATTCTGAAATATTATAAATTATATTTAAATACAAATTAATAAATTACTAATTAAATTGTATTTTGACAAATGAATTATATTTTAATAAATATAATTATTTTATTAATAATTTATAATAAATATTAAATTAATGTAATTAATTTTGATATTCTCAAAATTAATTAACATTAAAGTATATTATGAATACTAAAACTATAAATGATTTACAAAATTCAGTTAATTTTTTAAATATATAAATAATTCTAATTCTACAAATTAAACAAAATCTAAGAATATTTAATATAATATTTATTTTTAATATTTTACTTTCTTATTTTATTATATATTATTATTATTTTTAATTTATTTATATTTTATATATATATATATATATTAATTTAAATAGTTTATAGTATAGTAAATAATTAATTATAATAAAAAAATTTTGTATAATAAGAAAAAAATTTTAAGTATATTGTAAATTAATTCAAATATATTAACTCAAATATAAATTTTAATATTATAATAAAAAATCAATTAAACTTATAACTTTCTATTTTTTCATATTTTTATATAGCTTGATATAATCTTTACACAAAAATTTATAATTAAATTTGTTATTTAATTTTCTAATTAAAGTTTTATAATTTTATTTTTAAGTTTTTATACTTAATAAATTTGTTGAATTTAATATATAAATTGATAAAGTTAAGAGTTAGACAAATTTTAACATTTTGATCACAGTAATAATAATTTCAAATAAAAATCTAAAGATATAATTAACCTAAGTTAAAGAAATTCATAATAATAATATTAATAATCTTACTTTATAGAAAGTTAATATCAATTAAAATCAAATTAAAATCACTTCTATTGATAATATATTAAATGATGAAAATAAATTAGAAACTTTTGAACTAATAATTAAAAAACCTTTTTAAAATATTAAAAAAAATAGCATTAAAATTATTATAAAAGTTGTTAATAAGTTATAATAAAATTGTAATAAAATTTTTAAATACTTACATAATTTTATCCTTTTTTTTGTAATATATTATTTTTTTATAATATTTATCTGCATATTTTTTATTATAATTTTTAAAATTAACTTATATATTACATTTATTTCTATTATATATTAACATATAAAAAAATGATCAATAAAAAAAAAGAAAATCTATAAATTTTGAGCAATTTTAATTTTTGAGCTAGTTTTGTTTATATTATCATGATTATTAGAGTAAATTAATAAAAAATTTTTAACTAAAAAATAAATTTTTTTTTTTTTACTGATTTTTTTTTATATAAAGAAAAATTGAAAATAAAAAATTAAAGAATTTTTAAAATGCTTTAAATATTATAGAATTTCTTTAAATAAAAACTTCTTTTAACTATTTAAGAATACTTATTTTTAAAATAATATAAAACCTTTAATATTATTTATTTGTAAATGCTATAATAATCTATTTAATACTATTTTAATAATAATATAAGAAAATTTAATCTAAAAATTAAATAAACTTTTAAAGTTGTTATTTAATTATCATTTTATACTATTAAATAAATAGTATCTATATTAAATTAGAGCAAATTATTTTATTTAAATGAAAAAATTTTTTATTATCACAAAATATTTTTATGTTTATAAAGTTATAAAATATTTAAAATAATTCTAATA